CCATATTCACAAACATTATGTATCATATATAGCATTTTGAGGTGGAATTTATACTCACTGTTTTAAGTCCCTCCTTAAAGGAAGTATAACTTGCCAAGTTCTCACTTGGCTCATGTAAGTTACAAAGAGTATGTACAACTCTTGTAGTAAAGGCTAAATTGGAGTAAAAAGATAAAACCTAAATCACTAATGAGATCCTACAGTAACCAAAATTTATCAATGCTCATTTCGACAGTAAATCCCTTTAAACCTTTATGTATGAAACACTAGCTGTAAACAATACTCTTTGTGAATGACACACAGTATGCAGTTTAACCCTTAAACTGTCCAAACGTAGATCTACGTTTTTTCAACTTTTAAAAGTATGTAAAAAATGTAATTTTTTTATTTGAAAATGTGTAAAAAAAAAAACGATCTACTTTTTTGTTATATGAAATTTAAAAATATGTAAAAAAAAAAACTGTAGAACACTTTTGGAACACTTCGCATGTGAACGTAAATCTGTTTGGACAGTTTAAGGTAAGACATTTAGTTATACGTTTTGTCTATCAGGGAATTTATTAATGGACTGATAAAGTCCTAGTGGACCCAAATCTTTTTAATAAATGTCATAAACCACAAATTGTCTTTTTTTTACACATTTGTTGGTATAATTTACCAAAGATCACAGCCATCATGATATTCTTGGTATGGAATGAATAAAACTAATTTCACTTGCAGGTTTTTATTTTTTGTATAAAGTATATTCTTTTATATTAATCTTCATTCAAACATTAATGGGTTAAACAATTACACACAAAAAAAAATTTACCACTGTCTTATAAGTTTCTTTAATGTGTCCCATATAATAATAATGTTGGTTTATAATCACAACTCCTAAAAATGTTCTCATGCCTTGCTGCAGGTATCCTCCAAAGAACTAATTACTGTACAATGTTAAATGATGTTTCATTACTGTGGAAACAAAAATATTACTTTACATTTTAGAGAAATTTTGAAAATTCAAGTTTTAAAATTATACTAGAAGCATTGTCAACTACTACTGATAATGATTTACTGTATTTACAGTTGCAAGGTTTAAAATCTCCCTTTAAATTTTGAGACTTGCCTTTGTTGCAGGTATCTTCAAAGTTATTTTTTAAACCCAATAATTTCACAATGACATGAATGTAAATGACATCTTTTTTAATAACCCAAACATGGTTGCTGTCCTGACAATAACCACCTCAACAATAACTGAAAGATAAAAGGAGCCTTATTTGTAACTTCATTTTACAACTTTAATTTTTCTTTTTCTTAAACACCAAGTGTGTTTCATAATAGCTTCAGTATTGCCTTTCACATAAAATACATACAGAACTAGGAAAGCACTTTTTACTCCTATCTAAAATTTGGGGAGTGTTGAGCTTTTTTATAGACTAGCTTTCCTTTGAACACTAGAGCATCAAAACAAGGACCTGTGTGTGTTCTACTTCCGTACAAAAGCAAAAATCTTATATAAAGAATAAAATCCCTATCATGTTAAGTATTACAATCAAGAAGCACTAAACCTACAAGGGTCATACAATACAATATCATGTTAATAAATGCATCTTTTACTGGAAACTGTCAGACAGAATAAAAAAACATTTCATGAATTTAGTTACTTCATTGTTCAAAAAATTCAGATTCAGGAAAGAAATTTTGGGTTTTGTAATAGAGTTTGGATGAGTCAAACAAATTCCCGAGTACTATCATAGAAGCTAAAATGTTTTGTAGTATTAAAAATGGGTTAAATACATGAGTGGGTTGTGAGCTGGACCCGACTGGCTTGTGCTAATTGGTCTGATGCTGTGCTCCTTCCTTTAAACCCCTTAAAAAGGTCCAAACGTATATATACGTTCACTCGCGTAGCACCCAAATGTATATACGTTTTATTTTTCCTGACAACAAATTTGGCACGATTGGCCCGAGATGCCTGGTCAGCATAGAATTGGTCTTAACACTCGGTGTGCACAGTATTAAAAAAATCTGGGACCACTTAGTACCTTTCTGCCAATAGTCGCTTATATCTCACCCGAACTTCCTCCTCCCTTAGTTTATACACTTTCACCTCCCGCTTACTTGTTGCCACCTTCCTCTTTTCCCATCTACCTCTTACTCTAACTGTAGCTACAACTAAATAATGATCCGATATATCAGCTGCCCCTCTATAAACATGTACATCCTGGAGCCTACCCATCAACCTTTTATCCACCAAAAATAATCTAACAAACTACTTTCATTACGTGCTACATCATACCTTGTATATTTATTTATCCTCTTTTTCATAAAATATGTATTACTTATTACCAAATCTCTTCCTACACATATCTCAATTAAAGGCTCCCCATTTACATTTACCCCTGGCACCCCAAATTTACCTACTACTCCCTCCATAACATTTTTACCCACTTTAGCATTGAAATCCCCAACACCATTACTCTCACACTTGATTCAAAACTCCCCACGCATTCACTCAACATTTCCCAAAATCTCTCTCTCTCCTCTACACTTCTCTCTTCTCCAGGTGCATACACACTTACTATAACCCACTTTTCACATCCAATCTTTATTTTACTCCACATAATCCTTGAATTAATACATTTATAGTCCCTCTTTTCCTGCCATAGCTTATCCTTCAACATTATTGCTACTCCTTCTTGAGCTCTAACTCTATTTGAACCCCTCAAGGAAGGTTCCTTGATGTTGGTGAGGGGCTCTTGATTTAGGGAATTGGATCCGTGCTCCAGTTCCCCGAATTAAGCCTGAATGCCTTCCACATCCCCCCCCCAGGCGCTGTATAATCCTCCGGGTTGAGCGCTTTCCCCATGATTATAATATAAAAATAATCTAACTCTATTTGAAACCCCTGACCAAATTCCCATTTATTCCTCTCCATTGAAACTCTCCCACCCCTTCAGCTTTGTTTCACTTAAAGCCAGGACATCAAGCTTCTTCTAAATTCATAACATCCAAAATCTTTCTCTTTCTTATCTTTTGCACAACATCCATGCACATTCAGACTTCCCACTTTGACAATTTTCTTCTTATTCTTTTTAGTAATCTTTACACACACATATATATATATATATATATATATAATATATAATATAAATATATATATATATTATTTATATATATAATTTAAATTATATAAATTTTTAATTTCAACAAGTCGGCGTCTCCCACCGGGGCCCAGGGGGGACCCAAAAAAGAAAGAAAATCCCCAAAAAAGAAAATACTTTCATCATCATTCAACACTTTCACCACACCCCGCACATTATCACTGTTTTTGCAGAGGTGCTCAAAATACAACAGTTTAGAAGCATACACATATAAAGTACACAACATATCCCTCCAAAACTCCCAATATCCCAAACCCCCCCTTTTATAGTGCAGGCATTGTACTTCCCATTTCCAGGACTCAAGTCCGACTAAAAGGGGAAAAAAAACCGGGTTTCCCTGAATCCCTTCACTAAATATTACCCTGCTCACACTCCAACAGTTTCGTCAGGTCCCAAATACCATTCGTCTCCATTCACTCCTATCTAACACGCTCACGCACGCTTGCTGGAAGTCCAAGCCCCTTGCCCACAAAACCTCCTTTACCACCTCTTTCCAACCCTTTCGAGGACGACCCCTACCCCGCCTTCCTTCCCCTATAGATTTATATGCTTTCCATGTCATTCTACTTTGATCCCTCTCTCTAAATGACCAAACCACCCTCAAAAAACCCCTCTTCTGCCCCCTGACTAATGCTTTTATTAACTCCACACCTTCTCCTAATTTCCACACTCCGAATTTTCTGCATAATATTTACACCAGGACATCTCCACTGCCTCCAACCGTCTCCTCGCTGCTGCATTTACCACCCAAGCTTCACATCCATATAAGAGTGTTGGTACTACTATACTTTCATACATTCCCTTCTTTGCCTCCATAGATAATGTTTTTTGACTCCACATATACCTCAACGCACCACTCACCTTTTTTCCCCCATCAATTCTATGATTAACCACATCCTTCATAAATCCATCACACCCCACACACGTACGTACGTTTGGACCATTTAAAGGGGTTTAAATGGGTGTGACCTGGATCTGACTAGGTTAGGTCCGTGGCTTAAGCTGGTAGATGACTTGGACCTGCCTTGCATGGGCCAGTAGGCCTGCTGCAGTGCTTACTCCTTCCTTATCGTTTATGCATAAACTAGGAATCTTTGTAGTTCCATTGACTATTTGCAATTTGTGGACCATAAGAATCGAGTTTCATCACTCCTCTCATGATTGACCCCACATGGGTTTAACACTAACAGGCAACATACTGTATAAGAAGACTTCATTAACAAGGTTTTGACTTGTACTGACATTGTATTTAAACTCCTTAAGTACATAAAATATCTTCAAATAAATTAACCATTAATGTTCAGTATAAAGCTTTGAACACTGCAGATCTGGTGCTTCTTTGTCAAACATATGACTCCATTCTGCAGAGATCTAGTGTTCATTCGTTCTATGTATTTTCAGTCTTGCAATCTGGCAATCCTTTTCCTTATTTTAAAATTTAAAAAAAAATCAAGAGATTAAATTTTCTAGTAATACTTCATTGTATGCATGACTAAGCTATTTGCTTAATACGAGTAAAAATTAGAGCCATTTATAAAAACTGCTAGAATTTTAGGCCCTTTGCCTCAGTACAAAATATTAATAATGGAAATGACATGTTCTGTAAAGAGGCAAGATTTTTTCCCCAAAAGGTAAAGATTATAATACAATGCCAGATAGCAAGAGGTGAACATTTAAGGGCATAAAAGGAATTTCCCTTTAGAAAATTTCATGAATCAACTGTATAATATTTTCTTAGCATCCAGAGCAAAAATAGAAAATAAGACTACAGGTGGTAGAATGCTCTCTTTCCTTATGAATATTTTAAGTGGTTGGAAAAGAACAGGTTCATGTTAAAGTTGCTCTACCACATTAGGGGTTTCTCTTATCTCTGTCCAATGATGACATTTGCATTCTGGAGAGCCTATATAAAGAAAATGATACTATATTAGCTTTCTCATTTGCCATACTACTATTACACTGAAAATACTCATTCATCCTTTCCTTTACTGTATGAAAAATGCCATGTTCAGGTAACTGCAAATTAGTCACCCTTTTTTTTTATCACAAGGAGTCACTACTCACAAAATGCACAGGCCATAATTACTATTAATTATTAGTGTTCTTGATAGAGCACTAAATCAGTTTAACTTAGTCATCTGTGTTTACAAGGAAGGCTGTCAGTAAGGACAATTGATGAGGGGAGCGTACCAAGTGCAAAAGAAGGCCAGTTGTATAAGAAGTTATTATTAGTGCTTTCAAGAGGAGAGGGCACAGCCAGACTAGGGGCATCAAGGTATTGAAGGAGAGGTTGGAGATGTGTCTACATGCTCTTTTTATAAACGAGATAATCCAAGATATATTTGTTTAACTGTCACATGACCTGACAAATTCACCAGAGGGAATAGAGGGCTTTTCTAGAATACAAGTCTTTAAATCCTATGTGCAGTTATATGACAATGCCATTATGACACTTGAAATCAGTGGCCATATATGCAAGTGCGATTGATTAAAACTGATCTAAAATACATTATACAATTTAAGACACTGGGAAATAGTACTGGAAAATGCTGCACTTGGTAAAAAGAGCAACCTCCTGCAGCAGGATGTAGGGCCCCTGAGCTACGCAATAGCTGAGGCATCTACAAATTCCATGAGCTTTCAAACACCAGAATGTCAAAAGGACCCAGTATAAAAAAAAAAAAAACAAGTTGGTTAGTTGAGTGCAATACAAAGCATGAATATAAAGGATGCAGAGAATAGGGAAAAAATTAAGCCATGGATCAACTGTTAATGCCTTGATGAGTATGAACTACTGTAAGAAAGTACAGTGGAAACCTCAGTTTTCATTTGCCTGGTTTTTGTTGAATTTGGTTTTCAAACAACTCTCTTCGTTCAAATTTTTGTCCCTGTTTTCGTTCACACCAGGTTTTTAATCGAGGCTGGGACAGTGCTCCACCATACCAATGTGTCCAACCCTGCCCGCACCCTCACAAAGCATCACACACGCATTCTGAGTCAGTTGGCTCTTTGTTTTCATAGTGTGTGCATTTCCCTGCCGTTTGTCCGAAGCATTTAGTAATAATTCCATGTTTTTTTGTGCTTTTTTATTGAGTGCGACTGCTAAATAAGCACAGGCCCACAGGGACAGTTCTGAGTGCCAGACCTTGATAAAGAAGGCAAGAAACGCAATAGAAGTTCAAGAATGAACTCGTGCAAAGTACGAAAGTGGAATGAGTTTCAAAGTTTCGTGGTGCAAATATCACTAACCGCCTTCTACAAAGGTAGAGGATGGCAGATTGTGGTAGAATAGTGGTAGTGATGGTGGTTGAGATAACTCTCCTCCCTCTCCCCTCCTCGCTGTCTTCCATATGCCAACAAGAGTTCATTAAAGGTAAGAGTGATTGCTAATGTTCTTATATCCATTTCATTAGAACTTTATACGTGGAACCCCTTGGTTCTAGTTATTAATCCGTTTCCCGAGAGCTCATTGCTTTGTAAAGCAAAAATTATCAGAATAGCGAATCAATTTTCCATAAGAAATTTTTTTTTTTATTTTGAACACTGGCCGATTCCACCAAGGCTGCGGTGGCCCGAAAATTTAAAAACTTTCACTATCTTTCACTCCATCACTGTCTTGCCTGAAGGGTGCTCTTACACTTCAGTTTTTAAAACTGCACATTAACACCCCTCCTACAGAGTGCAGGCACTGTACTTTCCCATCTCACAGGACTCAAGTTCCGGACTGCCGGTTTCCTAGAATCTTCATAACATGTTACTTTTCGCACACTCCAACAGCTTGTCAAGTATTTAAAAAGTATTAAAATCCATTTTGTCTCCACTCACTCCTTATCAAACACCTCATGCATCCTGCTGAAGTCCAAGCCCCCCGCACACAAACCTCCTTTACCACCTCCTCCATCCTTTCCTAGGCCGAACCCCTATCCCGCCTTCCTTCCACTACAGACTGAATCACTCTTTGATGTCATTCTGTTTCGCTCCATTCTCTCTACATGCTCGAACCACCTCAAAACCATTCCTCAGGCCCTATGGTCAACAGTTTTGGTAATCCAGCACCTCCTCCTCATACTTCAATCTACGGATTTCTCTGCATTATTTTCCTACCACACATTGCCCTCACACATGACATTCTCCACTGCCTCCAGCCCTTTCTCATCACTGCAACCATTCATCACCCATTTAAGTGCGTTGGGTTAAAACTATACTCTCATACATTCCCCTCTCTGCCTCCAAGGACAAAGTTCTTTGTCTCCACAGACTCCTTAAGTGCCAATAATGGAAAATTTAAATTTAATCGGCAAGACACCAAAAGTATGAAAAAAAAACTGTTACCACATGAACATTAGTTTAATGCAATAGAATAAATATCACCAATAACAATTACAGTAACACAAGAGAATAATTGACATTACCTTTATGAAGTTATGGGTGATGACTGGATGGGATGGGAGGAGAGGAAGTGTCGAAGTTTTTTATGTTTAGAAGGGGAATCCCCCTACCTTAGGACTGAGGTAAGCAAAGTCCTTTTCTGGGGTTACTTCCCTTCTTTTTCAATGCCACTAGGACCAGCCTCACCATGCCTAATACACTTTGTATGGCCACTACGATTCTTAAATTTTCAAGCAAACCTTTGGTGGCCTTAAATTCACCACATCACCACTAGTTGAGGCATTTTTTAAATTAAATCCTCAATGCCCTGGCCTAGCCTTTTCACAAATGAGCGCTAAAGAGATGCTCATCTCCAGCTTTCTGTTTTTCATTTTTCCACACCAGTAACATCTATCAACATTTTCTAAAACTTTGCGATCGCTGTTTTGTAATCACAGTTGCACCTTTTGCAACAAAAGAAACAGCCTCCCTGATTGCCGTTTTTATGCTTCACTATAGTTGTGATGGTTGATTGGGGATTTACTATACAACTTGCCAGGTCCGGTCACAAACGCCACTCCACTTTCATACTTTGCAATTATCCTTTCTTCATTTCATTAGTCAATTAGCACTTTGGTCTCGAAGGGTTGGCACTAGAAGCTTTCTTGGGGCCCATGGTGACTTATTTCGCAGAAACAAGCACCAGATACAGTGATTATATGGAATGTACCGAATGTATCCTTAGATGCGCACCTCTGGCATGACTTGTAAAAATTGGTACACACGGGGACAGTTCAGGCCACAATGTGGACACGTCTCGTACGAAATCGTATCGCGTACCGGATTTTGTAACGGGATAACGTGGCATAATTTTTTGCGTATATCGTATTACGTGATAACGGAATTTATCAGTTACCGATGGACTTCGTGTGGAACTGGGGGGACCCACTGTATTTATTTCTCATTGTCTTTTTGTATGTAAAACTATAGTTATTCCCTTATAAAATGTATGTTTTTGTCAAACTTTCAGGGTTTCGGCCGTACTAGTTAGGCTTACGCATCAGGGTCCTTGACGTTCTAGTACTCATCAAATTTAGCGCCTTCAATCTACGTGAGAGAAAAAAGCTGGTAGGCCTACATATGAAAGAATGGGTTATGTGGTCAGTGTGCACAGTATAAAAACCAATCTGCAGCACACAGTGCGTAATGAGGGAAAAAAAAAACTCTTGACGTGTTTTTGGTTTAAAAACATGCGACTTCTTTGCACTGTATTTTTCGTATGTATTTATATTGTTTTCTTGTTTTTTTCTGGTCCTCATTGTATAGAATGGAAGACATATTACAGAAATTGAGACGATTTTGACTGGTTTTAAAACGAAAAGTACATTGAAATTTGGCATCAAAGTAGCAGACAATGTTCGATTTTTACCAAAGTTCAAAAAGTAAACAAATAATGCTAAGCATCCCGACTACACGGTCAACTGGTGAGTACTAATATTCTTTCAAAAGTGCGCCAATAATTATTTATAACATTTTATACACTATGCAGTAGTCTCATAACAGTAAAATTTCTATTTTTTGTAAAGAAATAAAATATTCCAAAGTGGTAAAGGCAAAAGAATGTAAGAGGGGCGTGGGGATGTGACTAATGAACAGAGGAATTGTTCATTTTAGTTGCACCAGGAATGTCTTTCTGTTTATTCTGGACCTATTTGGAAATGGCATCTTTTTGAAATTTGTGTGAAATTGGCAAAAATTGCTAAATTTCTGCCACTGTATTCGGATAGCTTGAAAATCAGTAAATTGGTGGTTTTTATTGTACTCTTTCGTTAAGAGAAAAAAATGGAAGTTGTTCTAGCGTAATAGTTATGATTTTTGTCGAACTTGTAATTGGGATTTGAAAGGAATAATAGGGCTCAAAGTGGGCAAAATCGCCGATGGTAAAACATCGTCCAACCGTAACTTTCACGAAGAGCATTTATTCTTGCAAGTTTTTCCATCAAATTTCATACTTTTGGTGTATTATGCAAATAGAAAAAGCAACAAGAAAGAAAATACAAATAGAACATAGGTTAGCAAGCCCAGCCACCGTCGTAAGACGAAGACGTCGTCGTTCCTGCTCTTCAGCCTGAAGCAACTCTGAAACACTGTTGCGCGAGATTTTTCTTGAGTTTTCCTGAGTTATTCTTCACCATAGCTGAGAGAGGGAAAATTGCTTGCAGTCACTTCGAGCCCCATTTCTCCCATCATGAGGGTAAGGCGGGCCTGCTTGCTTGTTCACCCCCTCTAATCCCATCCCCATCCTTTCCCATCCTTCCCCTTCCCCCAACATCAACACTGGCCACACACTTAACCCACTACAGCAATTGCCTATCCTTCTGACTTTCCTATCTTCTTTCTTTTTCGGCATACTTCGCTTTGGCGAGTAACTCAAAGGCATTTTGACCATCCGCGTAGCCCGTGTGGTTTTTTAAACACCCGTGCCGATCTTTGCCTTGGGCCCCTTTCCCCTCTCTTCTCGAGGGTAGGCTATCT